GTTAGAGAAATAATTGTGTTTCTAAATTTGGAAAAGTTATATTGTTTAATTAACTTTTAACGTTTACTTAACACTTATTGAAGTTAAATGTAAGTAATATAACTTTCAATTGTTCGCATAAAATTGGGAGTGAGAACAGAATAAAGCCGGGTTTTCACTATACGAGTACTCTCGGACCGAGTGCGCTCATACGGGCTAGATCGTATAGGAGTCCAATCTGACCTTGGTTGACACGTTACGAGTTCATCAGAGCCAAAATAGCATTTAATTTTGTCTCTTTGTAAGTGATGACGACTGATCAACTGCTGCGAGATAAGTTGAGGTTATGAATGATGCGTTGTATTGCAGCATTTCGGGCATCTTTGTTTTTATATTCAGTTAATTTCGCGTTCCATAACACTTATTCAGCTTCATATAGTTGCACAAACCTCAGAGTAACATGTTCGTTCCACTTTTTTTAGTTGGTGCCATTTTGTCACCATAAAATTATCCGAGTGTACTCGTAAAAATAGAACCTCATCCGACTCCACTCTGATCGGATGAAGCTGTCCGAGTACGCTCGGATTACGTGTTTACACACTACGAGTAGCGTTCGAGTAGGCATACGAGCGCACCCGGTCCGAGAGTACTCGTATAGTGAAAACCCGGCTTAAGGGCCCCTTTTCCCGAAAGTTTAGGCATTTTACGCTCTGAGACGGCTCGCGCCCGCGTTGCACAGAAGCCGGCGCGATATGAACTTGGGTGACCTATGGAGGCGGGCGAGCACGCCACAGTATAAATAAATCAGTAGTTCGATTTTGTTAGCTATCCCAGGAATGTTGTTGATAAATAAATTAACTACTTATCCTATACCATTAAACGAGCAATATTTGTATATTTATATTTATATACATATATATATATATATATATATATATATATATATATATATATATATATATTTTAAACGTTACCCCTACACTAGGATTTTCTCCTGTATCGTGGGGGCAGTTTACAAACATAAATTGCACAAGTACAAACATCCAGACCCGGAACAATTATTTGTAGGCCATACAAATACTTGTTCCGTGCGGGATTCGAACCCGCGACCCCCAGTGCAGCCACTCATTGCTAAGCCACTACGCCACGGAGTCGTCAATATATATATATATATATATATATATATTAGATGAGTTCTCGAAAACGGCTCTAACGATTTCATGAAAGTTTCAATTTAGGCGTTTACGGGGACGAAAAATCGATCTAGCTAGGTCTCATGTATGGGAAAAATCGTTTTCGCCCTATTTTCACGCATAAAGATTTACCCGCGCAGTATGTTTCGTAATTTCGCCGCTATTGTTACGTAGCCAAGCGGTTATAGTGTCGGCCTATGAAGTCTACGCTGAAGAAAGGTTCGGGTTCGAATCCCCATGCAGACTTTGTTTTCGTTTGATCAATTTTTATTTAGTTTTTTTATTTGTACATTTTTTTGTTGTTTATTGTACTTATAATTTTTTTTGTATTTTATTTTTTGTATAGAAACGAAATTCACAGAATACATCTACCTACTAAGTTTCAAATATGTAGTCCGAATAGTTTCGGAATAAAAGGCTGTGACACACGGACGGACGGACGGACAGACATACATGATGAATCTATAAGGGTTCCGGTTTTTTCCATTCGGCTACGAAATCCTAAAAAAGCTTGAAAAAGGCTTCTTTATAATCATTTACAAAAAATATCCCATTTAGATTGCCAAGGGACTTGGAGATCGAACCTGGTGATCCGAGGAATTTGGGCCGTGGTATGGGCATAAGAAATCTGACAATTGAAGAATACAAATATTAATAATAGGTAAAACTGGAATGGAATAAATAAATTTACAAAATTTCAAAAAGCAAAAAAAATTAATTACTAGAGTTAGTAGGTATGCAAAAATATAGGTGAATATTACTATAGGATTTAAAATTCTTGTCATACTGACTTCGCTAGTCTGTGTAGCTTAGCTAGATTACAGTAAATTATATTGTGACGAATCCACCCACTAAATAGTGGAACATTAGAATACGAAAATAAAAATTGTCATACTGATTTAGCTAATCTATGTCCCTGTTAAAGTAGATATCTAATTATTCCAATATGTATTTTTTTTATTGTAAATGACCTGTTGATGTTACGCTAGGGCTAGGTTATAGGAACTTACGAGTATAACCTAGCCCTAGCGTAAGTACTTACGCAATACACTTTCGGATCTTCTTCACTTTCACGACAACGTAGTCGCGAGCAAAAATAGCACAAGTCCTCCCTCGATAACGTCCGGCTGGACACTGGCGGCACTGGCGTGGTGCGCGCGAGTCGCTTTTTACGTATTTTATTTTATATGGAAAAAAATAAGTGCCAAATTATAAATCTATCTAATAATATCCCTGTCAAACCTGATTAGTAAATGAAATATAAAATTTTCATAAATATAGCGTTCCCCTAATTCTCATAAAACTGAAAATGCTTTCAAAATCGATGTTACTTCTGATTTTTTTTTTATCGAGTTAAATGTTTAATATTGTGTTTTTATCCAAAAAAGTCAATAGATCAAACGTTTATCTGTACTATATATTTTTTTAGGATTTTAAATATGATGATTTCTTTGAAAACAACACGATTTAGAAACATAAATTTGGGAAAAGGGGCCCTTAACTACAAAAACCTGCCGGCGGACGTCCGAGTTCGAGGGCGAACCGCCTCTATTTACCATTGCATTTTACCAATATCCGGTGTCACGTACTCGCTACACAAAACAGGCAATTGTAGTACAAAATACGTTGCATTGATTTTTACGAATGGTAGAGCCACCCTGCACTGCAGCTAGATGTGCGCTGTTATGTAAATGGCACAACTCGAATAGTATAGTATTGCCGGTTACCATAATAATGTAATAGTACATGTAGCGTACTCTGTAATCAAAAAAAAACAGATAAAGAAAGATAAAATACTATGATTAGACTAGACCTTTAATTAGTTCATTTCGTTATACAATAAGAAAATTTTATCCGGCGAAAGTAAGTACCATAAGGTCAAAACGGACCTTACAGTTAACATGCTTAAAGCAACTAGTGATCTAACAAAAAAAAGTTTGAAGACATAACTAGACAAGCTAATGTCTAAACAATTTTTTTATTAATTAATAGGTATATATTGCTAAAAGGAAATTGGAGATGAAAAGTGATAAAAAACAAAAATCTATTATTATAAAATGAACGTTTCATGGTTTCTTTTGTAATTCATTGTAATACATTTGTTTAGAAAAAGGTGGGAAACCTAAACAACACTTTCTCTCTCCGACACATATTTTGATTTAGTTAAAAATAGTTAATGACTATTGACTTACCTACATCACTTATAGTCCTACGTTACGTTACAAAGATCCTTACTCCTTACAATCAAGAATTTACAGTCTTTCTTTACTACTAGAAAAAATAAATTGGTGTAAGAATTTCTTACAAGATTTAGGTCCCGAAGTCTCCTGCCATGAATCACAATTAATATTAAAAAAAAATCTTAACATAAATCGCATGACAAGATTCAAGTTCTAAACATCAAAATTTTACAAATATTTATAAAAAAATATATTAAAATCATATTGGGTTAATAGTATACACGAATGTATTTCAATTGATGATTAGATAAGGCTTTCAAGACTTTTAAAAAATTGGTAGATAGTTACCAATACGACTATTTTTAACGTAATGTAGTGTGTACACAATATCTCCGAGGAATAATTGGCTAAATGAGTTACCTATGATTGACCTTTGATGAACCTATGATTTCACCAATTATTTCGTAGAAAGCGCATTCTTTCAAAACAGCAGTCCCATAAATATTCAACGGCGTCCATTTATAATTGATTTGCGATAATTCAAAATTATTGCTAAGCCGTAATTGCCCTGCAGTACGGATGAGAATTGAGAACTAACGAAACATATGCGTTAAGTTTAATCAGAATAAATAGTGCGCTATCTCGTTTTTTATCTCGATAAAAACTAATGGAGATAGAAATCGCGTAACTAATTTCTTAATCGCGGAATATCATTATTTTACCTAGCCTCGAACTCGAATTTATTGTGATTACAAGAAATTTGTCAAAGATATGGACTAATACGTAATCAAAAATGGCGACTATGAAAAATGCGGTTTTCACTGTTTAGACGCTCTGCTCCCTATTACCTGCGGTGAGGGTAATTTATTTTTTTCAAAAGTGTAAGTGTAACGCTAAATTAATAATAATAATAATAAGGATGATGGAATACGGAAGAACAAGCAAAGGACCGCTGCCTGGAGGTCGCCAGGGCGCGTCTGGCGCGTCTAGCGCTGGGCGCGACAGCATGAGAACCGCCAGCCGAGCGAAAGGTGCTGCACGACCACCCATCAGACCCTCGTATCCATCATCCCCACCATCTGGCTTGGTGTCGGCAGGGTCTTCGCGGGCCCAGCAATCGGCCCCCGCCACTGGTGGAGTACGCCGCATGCGATGGACAATCAATATGAATACCAACGTACTGCGGGCGTATTTTAGGGCGAAAGGAGGAGAAGTTGGAGGTTTGGCATATCGGGCTAGGATGCATCGTCTTTTTGCTGAGCTGGAGCCATTTATAACCGTCACCGAGCAAAACCTGGCAGAATAAGTTCGGTATATCTTGCGCTCAAATATATTTGATGTTGCCGAACTCGAACGGCTACGACGTGAGGCTGTTCCTTCATCGGGTGAAATGCTACGGCTGAGGATGCAGCGCCACAACTTGCATAGCAAACAGCAAACGTGGATGCCGCCGTGAATACCCCAGTTGTGGTTGATTCAAACTATGATGGAACAATCACCCAGGAACTGGAACTAGAGCAAATGTCATCCAATACATTGGAAGAGGCGATTGTGGAAACGCGCAGTACGTTTCTCGAAAATCGACCGCGACTTCCCCCACATAGCCCTAAGCAAGCGGAAACGGGTTGTCGTGAGGGCTCTGAACCCAATGCTGGTGACCTATTTGGAAGCCAGCCGGGACCTTTGCGAGACGGACTCAATTCTTTTTGGCGCCGCACTGGCAGTCTGCCGTATTATAGGCGCCAAACTCTACACGGCTGGACGCGCTACTGGACAAAGTAGTGTTATCCCAGCCTGGAGAATAAGAATTGAGGAACGTATCGCAAAGGCTAGGGACCTCATCGGCAGGCTGATATGCTTCAGGTCAGGCAATACCAGGCCAAGGATTGTGCGCACCGTCAGGATGGCGTTTGCTGGGACAAATGTTAGTTTGTCCCAGCCGGATATAATGCAAAAACTGACGTAACGCATAGACCACCTGAAGCAGAGAATCGCTGCTTGGGGAAAGCGGATTCGGCGATATACCGAGAGATCGACACGGTTCAACCGGAATCGTCTCTTCCAGAGGGATCAGAAGAGGCTTTATAAATCATTGGAGCGACCAATGCTAAGTGAAACGGGCCCAGCACCGAATCAGGCTGACACGGCCGCATTCTTGTCCAGCCTGTGGTCAGAGCCCGTAAACCACAGTGAGACACGCTGTACTCGCCCCATAGTTTAAAGAGGCTCTCAACCAGAAGTCGCTCCCAAGCCTCTTCACTACTGGTATCACTTATTTGGTTCCTAAAGACCAGGATACCACAGACCCGAGCAAATACCGCCCCATCACGTGTCTACCGACCACATACAAGACACTAACATCCATTTTGAGCGCGAGAATCGCTCGTCACCTGGACTCTAATCAGGTGATGTCGCGCGCTCAAAATGGATGTCGGGGCGGCGGTCGTGGAACCAAGGAACCACTCCTCATTGACGCGGCCATTGGCAAAGTGGTGAAACGCAACCGTCGGAACTTCTCCACCGCCTGGATAGACTACAGAAAGACATTTGACTCGGTGCCCCATACATGGCTAAAGAAGGTCCTCGAGCTGTACAAGATAGACTGTACAGTTCGAGACTTCCTCGGGCAGTGTATGGGGCAGTGGAGTACGATCCTCTGTCATCTAGGCGAGCGGATGACGGCTGCGGAAAGCCGCATAAGGATAAGATGGGGTATATTCCAGGGCGACTGTCTGAGTCCAATCTGGTTCTGCCTCTCTTTGAACCCTCTCAGTACTTTACTGGAGGGCTCTGGGAGGGGATTTCAGCTTCGGAAAAGAGGTACAAAAGTGACCCACCTTTTCTATATGGATGACCTCAAATTGTTCGCCTCCAGTCGCTCCCATCTTATGGAATTGCTAAACATCACTTGTGAATTTAGCAATTCTATTGGAATGGAGCTGGGGACGGATAAGTGTGCGGTCCTCCATGTTGAAAGGGGAAGGGTTGCTAACTCTGAGGACATAGACTTATGTATGCCCGTCAACTTAAGATCCCTTTCCGAGGCTGAAACATACCGTTACCTGGGTATGTCACAGAACATCGGTATCGATGTGGCTGGTATGAAACAGTCAGTTTGCGACATGTTTTATGCACGCTTGACCAAAGTGCTTAACAGCCTTTTGTCCGGTGTGAATAAGGCACACGCATATAACGGGTGGGTCATGCCTGTCCTCATGTATACCTTTGGCATACTCAGGTGGACTCCGACTGAACTTAAAGCCCTGGATAGAAAAGTCCGCACTACCATGACGTCCCATAGGATGCATCATCCAAGATCGTCGGTAATGAAGGTGACGAGCGATTCTCGCGCTCAAAATGGATGTTAGTGTCTTGTATATGGTCGGTAGACACGTGATGGGGCGGTATTTGCTCGGGTCTGTGGTATCCTGGTCTTTAGGAACCAAATAAGTGATCCCAGTAGTGAAGAGGCTTGGGAGCGACTTCTGGTTGAGAGCCTCTTTAAACTATGGGGCGAGTACAGCGTGATACACCATGGACCCCTTCAGCCAGTAGTGATGCAGCCCGTCAAGCCCCGGACTTTTCCAGTTCGGGGCCCTACGGACCGCCTCAGCTACGTCATCCGGCGTTATGATGACGGGGTCCATGGGCGTATATATATATATATATATATATATATATATATATATATATATATATATATATATATATATATATATATATATATATATATATAATAACTTACTATTGTATTGTTTAAATTATGCAAACATGTAGGAACTTGTATTCCTTGTAAATACCATATAATTAAGATCAAGGGATCAAATCTGACAACCTAATGCCCATATACTGTGTTAATATTCCTGCTGTCTTTATCACTTTAAGTGAAAGTGAATGTGGTACCAAGAGATTTAATCTTAAAATTGAGTAGTGTTTAAGTATTTGGCCAAAAGACACTCTTAACATATGTTGCTAATGCAATCACAATTAACACTTAATATTAACGCAACACGAAGAGTTACGAAGTTTATAAGGATCACACAAGCGAGAGTTACGACCAACAGTAAAACTATCCGAAATGCGGAAGATTGACATGCCACGTCGTGTTTTAAGTTTTAAGTCTTCTTCACACGAAAGTTTTTCAGGAGCTAGTCGCTTAGTGTTTACAGCCGTTAATCAGTTTGCGGAACTCACGTTTTCCGGATTGCACGGCACTCGTAATTAATATTTTTAATTTATTTAATACGGTTGGTTATTCACATTGAAACGCATGCTTTTTTCCCCTGTTTGTTTTAATTACCTATACTTTGCAACACATAATTGCAAAATTAGCTTATATCATTAAAACAGCTATGTTTAAACAATCACACATGTTACATACCTTATGTTATTAAACATTTGCCTATAATATTATATTATATTCTATATTTATAGAATAAGGGCACTAAGTCAACCTGATAGTAAGTGAATGCTGTGGCGCTTAGACGTCTAAATCTATTTTCAATTAAAAATCAGGGTTTCCAGTTTTCTACACTCATTATATTGAACACAGCAGCATTAAGCTGCTATCTTACGCTGGTATTATGTGAGAGCGTAGTCCTTCCTGGACGAGCCGACCCCTTAATGCTACAACCATAATAATATACGAGGGGAGGTTAAAAAGTTCGCGGAATGGCGGGGGTTGTCGAGGGTGTGTTTACTCATCCAGGTAGGTGCTAGTTGAGTGACTCATTGTTAGTATATATACCAAGTTTCTGAGACTGAGTTTACCAAGAGCTGAGCAGTCAGAGACGGGAGTCCGCACTCCCCCCCTCGGACTGCGGTTAGATAGCTCACAGAAAAACGCCTAAAAAAGGCGACATGATGATTGGTAACAATATCAAATCATAAACCATTTCATCATCATCCTCACCTCACTGCCTTTCCCTTTTTTAATTAGCCCTGAGACAGATAAAGCTGTAAGAGTTGCATAGACTAACAGCACTAACATCTAGATGATAGTATCGAGTCATTAGCTTTTGAGTAATCAACGAGTAAACACGTCAGTCGGGAAGAAACTGGTCACTATGGAGAAAATTGAATATCGCGCCGTCATTAAGTTTCTCAACAAACGAGGTAAGACACCTCAAACCGTTTTTCAGTCAGCTGTTTATGGGGACTCCGGACTCCGCTCTTGGGAAAACCATGATTTATAAACAGTACGCCCTTTTCAAACAGGGAAGGACGATGCGAGACGACCCCCGACCCTGACATGGACGGCCGATTGAGGCCATTTAAACATCCTACATCAACCAAGGTGTTGACTAAATTCTGTGCAAGATCGGTTCCGAGAACGCTTTCTGCGCGTCAAAAACACGAGCGCGTCGAAAGTTGTGGCGACTTTTTGGACCGCAGCGCAGTGGAGAGCTAAGGGAAGAAGTTATGGCCCGAATTGTAACTGGCGATGAAACTTTCAGAGTCAAAGCGAGTCGATGGAGTGACATAATAAAGGCACACCCCCACCTAGGAAGTATAAGGTGTCTCAATCGACCGGCATGATCATGGCGACGATCTTTTTGGATAACGTAGTATTTCCATAACGGAAGAATACTACGCTTCTTTTCTAGATCAATTAAAAAAAAGCTATTAAAGAAAAAAGGCGAGGAAAGCTTATAAAAGGCGTGTTCCTTTTGCACAACAATGCGCCCATGCAGACAAGCCGTGTTGCGACGTATGCCATTCATCCGTGCGGTTTTGAACAACTGCGCCACCCACCCTGCGGTCCAGGCCTGACCCCAACGATTATTATTTGTTTCTAAAAATGAAGAAAGCATGGGAAAAATTTTGGCGACGATGATGAAGTAGCAATCTCGGCCTACTTTGACGGCCAAGACATGTCTTTTGGTATTAATAAGCTATTTGACAGTATAATAAGTTATTTGACAGTATATCTAATAAATGTATTAATGTTAAGGGAAAATATATTGAAAAGTAAAAGTAGTTTAATGTTTCATTTGATTATCCTTCCCTGTCATTCCGCGAACTTTTTGATCTCCCCTCGTAGCTGCCGCGTCTTTATATCACGTATAAATTTAACTGTGTAAAATACACTGGCCATCTTTTAAATTTATTTTATTTATAAGTATGTGTAAAGTCTTAAAATTACCTCATCTTAACATTTACGTAAATCTTTGATCATCATTTCAATTACTGAGAAAGTGTGATAATTGAATATCGTAGGAAATCTTGTTTCTTTTTAGCTAGACAAGTTTAGTAGAGTTATTAGAGTAGAGAGGTTGACCACACTTTCACGGTCGACGGCGGCCGATCCGCGATCAAGTGCTGTTGCATTTCACTGTCCCAGGTCACTGCACTGCAGTGCTTTGATACCTGTACAGGTTCAGGGATTAGCGACATGCTCACTAAACCTGCTTGAAGTGCAAGATCTTTTCGAAACAAGGAGTTTATCGTATTATAATCATAGTGAAGATGCGGACGTGATACAGGAGAGGTTCTCAATAATCGGACCAAAAATCATCTTTACCACTTTTATACTACCGCTTGTATAATAAAAACCTTAATCAATGAACATTCCAATTTAAAAAAAAAAACTGATTTAGATTCCAGTTACTTCCTACTGTCGTTTATAAGTTTACAGAAAAAATATTTTTAAGCTCGATATTTTTTGAATTACTCATTGAATCGCTCTTACAACAGAAGGTACAATATTATAATGTATTTTACACGTGGTAGAACCACGATGAACTATATTGTGGTTGTAGCAAGAAAAGGTCGGCTCGGCCGGGGAGAGCTCTCATAGAATAGTAGCGTAAAATAGCAGCTTAATGTTGCTGTGTTTCGTATATTGTGTGTGTAGGGAACCGGAGATCCCTATTACTTACTGGAAGCAAGGTATTCTTTTTTTTTTCTATTTAAATCTTAGTCCTCAAGGGTGATAACGCATCTTCATTTTTCCTGATTGAAGTA